TTATTTGTCAAAGGTCTGTTGAAAAAACTGGATGCATCGCCATTTTTATTCTACTTTTTCTTAGAGAAGTGGAATTATTATTTTTTTATAAAACGGCTTATTATGATTAAGTTCCGTGGTTTCTTTTATTACTTAACAGAAAAACACACCAAATAATTTTGACCAGTTTTACTATGCAAATACTCCTCTGTGCGCTCGAAAAAAAATACATTTATTTTAATGTTGTGATAGTTGTCAAAATTTGCACGCAGCGAAATAAAAATAAAATGGAATGTGAAAAAGTTGATAGCCAAGTTCACAAATCAAATAAGAATCAATTCAAGGTGAATTTAATATCTATTGAGGAGTGGGACTTGGCATACACATCCTCGCTGAAATGCAAAAACTTTAAAACCAAAATTTACTATTGACACAAAATTACAATTACATGAAAATTAGTTTTACACTGAGAATAAAAATTCATAGTTGTTAGTAAATTTTAATTTGCACTATCCACCGCTTTAATTGCGAAAATCTTCTGCTTGATAGCGGTGTACCGATCGGCTGCTTCGACGAACTTCTTGCGGATTCGTTGTTTGTCACCTGAGACTATTCAATATGAGCATCTGCATCTGTATCCGGTATCAATAAGTTGGAAATTGGATTGGTCCCTTCACTGTTGTTGTTTTCAACTGACCTCGCGTCCTCTTCATGGCGAGATGTCATTTGATTTTGGTGACGTTTGTAGAAACCCCTGCTAGTCTTTACTACATACATGACTTTACCTAGACGTCTGTCCACGACACCCTTTAGCCATTTCTCTCCGCGACCATAGTTTCGAATATAGACATGTTCCTGCGGTGAATATTTGGTTCGAGTTTCTTTAACGTCTGACATTTTTAACAGAAAACATCTGCGAAAAGACAGTACGTGCTGGACGACCACGTAAAAGCTGTGCTGATGACATGCCTTTAGCATTTGGCATTTGGTGACATGCCTTTAGCATTTTAGCATAGTGCGGTAGGTTGTAAGAAATTTAAGAACGGCTTCGCCTACTTGCAATCCATCATCTAAATTCTTTTTCACAGCAGTTTTAAAAGTACG